ATTATTTGCAGAAAATTAATTCCTTATCAAAAACATTTTTTAGACCAGTGAGGTGAAATAGGATGATTTTCTACGGCACACTAGTGGACCGAGGACCAGGGGTTGAAAAACACTGAGATAGAAGCATCAAAAAGGGGAATATCTGAGTATTCTGGCTCCTCTGAGCTCAGACTGGACATCCATCACTGAAACCCTGAGGAGAACATGCTCTCTGTTCCAGGGTCCTTCTCTTTTCTCTGTGACCTTTGACCTCTGGGCCTCATAGCAGACACTACTGTTTAAATCTAAAGGAAAACGCTTTCAGACGTTTGATCCAAACGGGCCAATGGGAGCAGGGCTGCTGTCCCATGTGACCTGAGAAATTAGAGGATACTGTGTGGAATCCATTTAGATGGAGGAACATCTGAGTGGGGAATTCTGTAGAAAACCACTGAGAAATCAGCTTTTTAGGGCTTTAGATGAAGGAAAATCATTGCTGTGTTCAAAGAGCTCAGAAATCTCAGCTTTTCCTGCTTTTTTCCTGTTTAAATCTAAAGGAAAATGCTTTTAGACATTTTCCACCAATCATGTTCTGATTGTGGAATTCAAATGTTATAAATAAGTCGTTTGGACCCTCAGAACCAAATGAATTAAATCTGTAAACAGACATTTTCAACCCACTGACCCCCTATGAATGAAAACTACCTGAACCAGGACAAAGATCAGAGACCAGAAGCAGAACCAGAACCAGAACCAGAACCAGAACCAGGTAGAAGCTTCTGGATCTCAGGAGGTTAAAGAGCTTTTGATTCTTAATGGACCTTTTTTTGTGTCTGTTTTTGGTTATTTTGTCTCTTTTCCTGGTCTTTTGCTCAACGTTTTCTTTCATTTTCTGGTCATTTATTGGAGTTTTGTGTCCATTTCTGATCATTTTCTGGACTTTTTTTTGCAGTTTTGTGTCTTCTTTTGTCTTTTTGTGACTATTTTGTCCCCATTTATCATCTTAAACAGACATTTTACATCTAAGGATAAACCAACTGAGCCTCTATGGAGAAAAACTACCTGAACCAGGACAAAGTCTAGTTCTTAACCTGATCAGAGACCTGGACCAGAACCAGAACCAGAACCAGAACCAGAATCAGAACCAGGTGGAAGCTTTTGGCTCTTAGGAGGTTAAAGGTCTTTTGATTCTTAATGGACCTTTTTTTGTGTCTGTTTTTGGTTATTTTGTCTCCTTTTCTGGTCTTTTGCTCAACGTTTTCTTTCGTTTTCTGGTCTAGTTCTTAACCTGATCAGAGACCTGGACCAGAACAAGAACCAGAACCAGAACCAGAACCAGAACCAGAACCAGAACCAGGTAGAAGCTTCTGGCTCTCCGGAGGTTAAAAAGAGAATTTGAATGCAATCTGAGGACAGAAACTTGCTTACAGCAGCCGGCGGCGGGCCTCCAGCCCTCCAGCGAGACGTTGCTGAGCAGGCGGCAGGTCTGGGCGTAGGCCTCCAGCAGCGGGCAGCCGGCGCCCCCTGCTGGAGGGAGGTGGCACTGCGTCTGAGTGCAGGCCTGGAGGAAGGGGTGCGGGTCCACGTCCCGGTGGCAGAACGAGAAAGGAGCCTCCAGCAGGCGCCCGCACCTGTGGAGAGACACGGAAATGTTTTTTTTTAAATTTTATTTAACCTTTATTTAACCAGGAAGTCTCATTGAGATTCGGAATCTCTTTTTCAAGAGAGACCTGGCCAAGGTAGCAGCCAAACCACAAAAAAAATCATACATAATACATTTTACATAATAAAATCAGAGCAATATGTTAAAACACATGGAGCATCTCAAGAAAAACAAGCACATATCTCCATCACTACACTCTTCATGGTTGCTTTGAATTCATTAATGGACACTAGAGTTTTTAATTTGAGCTCTTTCTGGAGGTTATTCCAACCCCAAGGTGCAGAGTAGGAGAATGATGCAGTTTTTCCCAAGTCAGTTGAAGCCCGGGGTACATTAAAAAGTAACGAGATAACTAGCAGAACTCATAGAGAGGAGGTCACAGAGGTACAGTGGGAGTTTACCCAGTATTGCTTTATAGATAAAGATACACCAGTGCTGTTTTCTACGAATTGTTAGTGATGTCCAACCAACTAGATCATAAAGAATGCAGTGATGAGTAAGGGACTTAGAATTTGTAATGAATCGTAATGATGCCGTGCACGCCCCTGTGCACGCCCACGTGCACGCCCACGTGCACGGCGGCCTCCTGAAACCCCCCAGATCTCCTGTTCTGATGGAGGACGTTTCTGTCTCTCTGTTCCAGGATCCTGTTTTTCTCTGTGACCTTTGACCTCTGGGCCTCATAGCAGACGCTATCA